TACACTAACTACATAAGAATTAATCATAGATCTACTATTGGTCGAAAATTCACTAGACAACCGCTTAATACAACCTCTTAAATAATTAACGTGGTACTACTGAAGCAAGCAAACTTACTGAAGTTCCCAACTATTATGGATTTTGATGGCCTCTGTCACATAACAGAACCAAACGTTCTGGACTTTGTTAGGTAAGAAATAGACACACCAATTAATGTCACCCCGATTCATATACTTCATATAATATATAGTTTGTAGAAATATCTAGCATGTGAGCATTGGAGAAACAATACCGTAACATTTAATTCAAAGACATGGACATCTAACTTCATGATAACGATTATTAAACCTACGATAGCAGAACCTATTTAATGTTTACCTAGTTTTTTCTTTCCACTTTTAAACACCACCAAAGTGGTTGAATCTTGAAATCGTAACACTGTAGCTCCAAAAGAGGCAAACAAACAAGCAGAGAGCTTCTTAATAACCAAACTCTCCTTCTAAACAGAATAGAGAGAAAAGCCATGGAAGCCATGAAGGAGACTGTGGATCAGAACTTGAGAGAGATGAGGGATACGTTTGCGAGTGGGAGGACGAGGAGTGTTAAGTGGAGGAAGACACAGCTCCAAGCTATAATCGAGATGGTTAAAGACAATGAAGACAAGATGTGTGATGTTCTGTTTCAAGATTTGGGCAAACACAGAACTGAAGCTTTTAGAGATGAGCTTGGTTTTGTCATGAGATCAGCTGAAACTGCTTTGAAGTGTCTTGATAAATGGGTTGTTCCCAAAAAAGTAAGAACCATACACTATGCACATATGTTAACAAGTTGAGTATGAGATAATAATATTGGTTAATCACTTTTTTGTTTGGATAAATGTTTTCTTGGTGATAAAAATCAGAGCAACCTTCCTCTGTTGTTCTACCCAGCAACAGGAAAAGTGATCTCAGAACCCTATGGAACAGTTCTTGTTCTGTCTAGCTGGAATTTTCCTATATGTAAGAGTTTGGATCTTGAATCAGTTTCTTTTTTCCTTTAATCTTATAAGAGTTAATTTTCTGCTTATTTATTTTATGTGGTCAGCTTTGTCTTTGGACCCAATGATTGGGGCAATATCAGCAGGAAATACCGTGCTGCTCAAGGCATCTGAATTAAGCCCTAACACATCTGCCTTCCTCGCCAAGACGATCCCCTCTTATCTCGACACTAAAGCCATCAAAGTTATCGAAGGAGGACCTGATGTCGCCACTATCCTCTTGCAGCATCAATGGGACAAGATCTTCTTCACCGGTATCACTCAATTCACCCCTCAACACTCCTTAACTCGCTTTATTGAATTTAGACTTATCACGAGCTTTCAACTTAAAACTAATTGATTATAAATTAATTTGTTATATCTCCTTATATATTAGTTAATAATTATTTCTCTAATCACCAATGTGAGACTTCATATGCCTAATTGTTGTTACTTGTTTGTAGGGAGTCCAAGAATTGGAAAGATTATAATGGCTGCAGCTGCAAATCATCTGACTCCTGTGACATTAGAGCTTGGTGGTAAATGCCCCACCATTATTGATCACCACTCTGTTTCAAAGGACATGAAGGTATGTGTTTTTCTCTTTTTTTTCTTAACCCCATTATTAATTACGTAATCTTGAAAGTGTCTGAATATTTATTAACGGTGATGAGTATAAAATATAGTCGGTTGTGAAGAGAATCACTGGAGCAAAATGGGGTTCTTGCAGTGGACAAGCTTGTATCTCAGTAGATTATGTTCTTGTTGAACAGAGTTTTGCGTCTTCTCTGGTATGTGTGTACACAAACACAAATGTAATCGATGTTTCATTTAGTATCTATAAGAGTTTGGTGTTTTTTCTTTAGGTTGAAATGTTGAAGCCGGTGATAAAATCTTTCTTTGGAGAAAACCCTAAAGAATCAGGATCTCTAGCTAGGATTGTCACCAAGAAACACTTTCAGAGATTGTCTCGTCTTCTTAGTGATCCTCGTGTTCAAGCTTCAATCGTCTATGGAGGCTCCATGGATGAAGAGAAGCTGTATAGTTATTTATTTAATCACATTTCTTGTATCACACGGCATCTATTCTACAAGTGCTTTAACCTAGGTTTGTTTGACAGGTATGTTGAGCCAACGATCTTGTTGGATCCTCCTCTTGATTCTGAGATAATGAATGAAGAAATATTTGGTCCAATTCTCCCGATCATCACAGTAAGCATAGTTAAAAGTATTCAGTAGAGTAAATAGCTGACTAATCGTTGCTGATTTATTTTTTCTTTATTTCTTTTGATGTAATGAAGTTACGTGACATCCAAGAAAGCATAGGGTTCATCAAGTCAAAACCAAAGCCACTTGCCATCTATGCATTCACCAAGGACGAGAAACTTAAAACTAGAATCTTGTCAGAAACATCCTCCGGAAGTGTTACCTTCAACGACGTCATGATCCAGGTATATATAATATTTTCCATATTCCCAAAATCCCAATTATTCCACACACCCACAAGATCAATCCTCAAGAAATTAGTCTAGAGGCTCTTAACCTTCTAATATAAGTCGGAAAATATTTCAAACTCGAGTTAAGTAGTTTTTCGAAAAAATATTAAATACTTTTTTGCCGGAACTGATCAAATCAGCCGATAAGACATATACAAAAAAAAACTCCTAGTCATTAAATAAACACACACAATAAAGAACTTTCTTATATCTTCAAGTGGTGATTGGAATTGCAGTATATGTGTGATGCGTTGCCCTTTGGAGGAGTGGGAGAGAGTGGAATGGGAAGGTATCACGGGAAATACTCATTTGAATGTTTCAGTCACGAGAAGGCAGTAATGGAAGGAAGCTTAGCAATGGATCTTGAACCTCGATACCCTCCATGGAACAACTTTAAGCTCACCTTTATTAGACTCGCATTTCGTGAAGCTTACTTTAAGCTTGTCCTCTTAATGCTTGGTCTTAAAAAATAAAATCAGGGAGCGAGAAGACAAAACACACAAATAATAATTATGTGATTTATTTGTATCACTCTTATGTTTGATTTTCATATCTTCACCTAATAAGTTTTGAGTCCAAATGTTGTTCAAGCTATATTTTCTATATATATATTAAAAGAAAAGATTTTCTATATAAGAAATTTTCACATATAGTTTTGATTTTCTATAACATGATTAATTCTTAGTAACCGCGGTTGAATACGTAAATTATAACGAGAAATTTGTATTAGTAGTAACTTTAAAAATTGTACAAATTGTAAGACAACCGCAGTACTAATGTTTAGAATTCCGTAAAACATTAATATGGGCTTTAGTGAATTTTGTAGTGAATTAAAGTACGTGAAATCACTGAAATGATACTTATGAACCATTGGACTAGAAATGAATGAATAATATAATACCTAAAAATTCATAAATATTCATCTAGCAATATTGTAACTAATTTTATAAGGACCAGTACACCTGTTTACAAATACACATACAAAGTAATTTACATAGATGATGTCTTATAGATGTATGTAGAGGTGTGTATGTGTGTCTTGTCCAAGGAAAAAAAAAAGCTGATGAAAAGTATGGGCGCGCACACCACAATAATAGGTCACTGCATCACTGAGGCAGTTTCTTTCACCCCCACCCTAAGTAAACCTCTACCAAAAGCCCTAGCTAGCTTCTTGTCTTTTGGTTGGTACGTCGTCCTTACTTGCCCCTCTTTATATCCAATCTCTTCAACCTCTCCCTCATTATTATTAGTTTCATCTTTACTCCTCTCTCTCTCTCTTTCTCTCTTTGTCTGCCTTTGGTTGTATATGTATCTTCTTGAACTCAAGCCCAACGAGAAACCATATCTCTTCCAGTTATGTCCTTCACTCTTTGAGAGTTCAAAATTAAGGAAGGACGGGTAACTTGCAAGTCAAGGTACGTTTCCGAGGCTAAACTACGTAACGTCAGGTGATCTAATTGTTCTTGTCTCATGTTGTTGTATTTTTGATCAACATAGTTGCACACCTGTCTAATTGCCCGGGAAATTAGGATTAGGTTAGTTATTTATACGTTTTGTAATGGCTTCCTAACTTCGGGGGAATATATGCGCAGTTAGATTATCAAGATTTTAATAAATAATATTTTATATACTGATTTTGTGAATTGGTCTTTTATGCTCTAACAAAAGTAACTATTAGCTTATTTTCTATCACTAAACGAGCTCATTGGTTATGATGTCATGATATTGATGCATGTCTTACAGCCGATGTATCTTAGAAGCATATAGTGGAATATAACAAGAAGCTAATTTTTTGGTACTGTAATATACAAAATCGTTGGTATAATGCAATAGATTATCGGCGTTAGTGACAAAAAAAAAGATTAATGTTTCATAGTTACAAAAAAAAAAGATTAATGTTTCATACTTTGTTAGTTATGCAATCCGCTACGTTATTTAGTGGGTTTGTGTAACCTAAGGTAAGAAACACTAGTTTAACTCTATAAAAGGTTGTATTAGTTAGGAGCTAATTAATTAGATCCTAGGTAATATGCTCTAAAACTATTTGGTTTTATATACCAATTGTAGGCCTGTGATGCAAGAACAATCTTTATACAATAAGTTCCCTTTATGTAACTTTTCAAACGGCAGTTCATTGTGAACTAGAACTCTATGAGTGTAGAATCGACAAATAATGAAACTGGCCAGTACAGTTATGGTAACTTATTATATGCTGATTTTTTTTTGCTCGCATTTGCTTTCCTGTCGTTGTCACTATTGATTTCACTTTTGTTAGTTTACTACTTTACCTTGAAATCTAGATAGACTTCACTCTACCATATGAAAATATTATAAATTATCCAATATTATAACATAAGAATTTATCGAGGTTACCCAATGGGAGAAGCAACCGGCAACATCGAGAACCAAAAAAAACTTACATGTTAATGTAAACAACCAATCATAAATATATTTGATAAATATTCAATACCGTACAATAAACATAAAATTAAACACATATTACAAGACAAACAAACATGCAGATGTTGATACGATTTGCAATATCGTCCATCTATAACATACGATTGATTAAAAAAACTCAAAACACACATTGCATATATAAATTCAATATATTATATAAAAACTCGAGTTCTTGATTTAATCAAGATCTTGGTGGGTTTTGATAGAAGTGTGTACCTGGTGGCACGAACATAGTCATCATGTTACTTGAATAGTAACTAGCAGAATTAGGATCTACAAACATCGCCGACGTTCCTCCTCCTCCTCCTCCTCCTCCACCGTCTGCTATTGCTGGAGTATTAGACGTATTTCCACCTCCTGCGGAAGAGCTATGATGATCGCTTCCGCCACTGCCACCACTCATGTAGCTGCTTTCAGGGCCTTGGTCATATAGGATTCCTTTGAACATATGACCTCCTATGTTCACCGTCGTTTGATAAGCGTATTGGCCATCTCCACCGTCGTCTACTCCGCTCATTTTTACACACCGGAAAAGCGCATCCGAGCTCACTTCGGGCGGAAAACTCGCCTTCCCCATTTCTAACCCTAAAATCATACATACATTAAGTTTCATATATACATTAAGATTCTTGCGCCTATTGTTTTTCCTAGTCACGCTTGTGTTTTCCAAATTAATTTATATGTGACTGGCTACTTTCATAACTGAACATAACATATAATGGTTTTATATCAAATCTTTTGAAAATCTCACTCATAGGAATTTACAAATTTAAAGATGGTTGATAAAAACATAAAATCAGAATGTTATAACTTTTAACATACTAACAAAAGAATAAGTAAATGGAACATTAAAAGGTGTGTTTTAATGTATCCGAGTTTAGTTCTAAGAACATATTAAATATGGTTGGAATCTTTAAGTCATCTGAATAATTAAAACAAAACTGAAACTAAAAAAAAACCTGCTGAGTCGGATGGTAAGCGAGAGGAGGATGTTCCCGGAAGAGTTGTATCCCTATGACGTTTAGGGATACTTGAACCACCGACGCCTCCAGATGTGGACATATGAAGCTGTTGTTGTCTCTCACGGCGTCTAGCAACGGGGATCCACGTGCTCCTAACGTGAGTAGAACAATCAAAGCCGCGGCTCTTACAGCAAGTTCTGCAACGAGTGTGAGTGCAATCTTTCTTGGCTTGGTTTCCACAGTCCCGACAGGTTATGGTGATGGATCTTGATGAGGTGGCTAAATCAGAGACGTCTATCTGATGACCTGGATAAAGATCTATGCTTTGTTGTTGTGGATGTGGTTGATGGTGAGGCATGAGAATCTGTTGCTCTAGTGGAATCTGCCATAGGCTCGAGCTTTGGTTGATATTATTGGTGTTTGTGTTTGATCTGTACCAAACCCAATTTGTCTTTTGTTGTTGTTGTTGGTTTCTTTCTTCTTCGTCTCTGTTGTTGTTGTTGTTGTTGTTGTTGTTTCCTACTAATGAGAACATCCCAGCCATTTCATATGACCTAACACTTCAAACCCTAATTTTGACCAAACAATATCCATAATTCAAAAACCCTAATTACCATGAAATCCTTTTCCTATTTTCTTCTCCCACTCACTTAAGTTCAGCTTTTTTCTCACTCTTTGAATCTAAACCTAATTTTTTGGAAAAAAAAGTAAGAGAATGTAAGAAGAAGAAACAAAAAGAGAAGAAAGAAAGAAGAATTTAAGCTTTCTGTTTATTATGATCTTTATTTTTCTCAATGAATTTCTGCCACGCCGCCGGGTTCTTTAGCTTTCTCTTTCCTCTGCTCTGCTCATCCCTAGAATTTAAGTCTCTCTCTGATTTGGGTTTTTGCAGATTCTGTGAAAACTAAAGTGAAAAGCTTTTCTTTCCCCTTCTCACTTCGGCTTTGTCTGAACAAAACGCTTCTAGTTCTGTCCGAGTGAAAGTAAATATAGTTAAACAAATACTCTCCCTCTCTCTATCGACTCAGAGTCTCACACCCACGGGGGATGATCCACGGTCCAAGTTTTCTTGTTCTCATCTCATGGACTAGAGTTTGTCACGTGGCTAATTTAATCTTAACATGGAATAGTGTAATTATCTCAATTGTTTTCAAGTTTTCTTTTTTTTTTTCTCAAATTTTAGTTGAGGTTAACACTGATTTTCACGTAATTATATAAAACAAAAGGACTTTGCACATGTGACTGTACGTATTAGTTTCTCGTAGTATTAATTATGGCTATTACCGCTTAATTATACGTTTTGTCTAGTCTCAAAGAATATTATTTGCTCACCTAGATACCTAAGGGTTCTCTCTTACTTTTAGGTAGCTTTAGCAAGTTATAATATCATTTAAATCAGTTTTATGTTAAAATGACGACACAAATTTGTATACATTAATCATATAATGTAAAAAATTATAATTATTTATTTTAATCATTTTATACAATTTAAATATATTTAAAAGATTTTTTCTGAAAATATAAAAATATATTCCAAATAAGGGAAATAATATCATTGCTAGGAATAAAAAAATTAACATTCTTTATTTTCAAGTTAGAAATAGGAAATTCGGAAAAAAAATCAGAGATATATTGGTGTTCTTAAGATTCTTTTATTGTAAATCTCTTCGTGAAACTTAAGTTTATTATAGAATATTTTTTTTATGAATACTACCGGCTGATTCAATCAATTCCGAAAAAACGCACTTAGTACTATAGATTGTACTAGTTTTAAAATGTATTATATTGTCTGATTTGAGTTTAGAATACTTTCTCATTAATGTTAAAAATGGATCGATCATATTTTGTTATGTTAACTACTTGGGTGGAAACCTAAACCTGACCAAGTTATAATAATTTAGTTCTCGGTAGGAATTGATTTCAAGATTGATGTGGGTACACTGTACACACTAAGCCTCAAAAATTGTCACTAATTAAACTACCGTTACTTGATTTATTATAGTGCATTTGGATGTCTGTATTTTTGCTATTAAAATTTTCACGCACTAGAAAATCAGTGATTCGGTGAACTAATTACTAAGAATAGACTAATAATCGTTGGTGTATAAAAAATCACCATAGAATAGTTTAGGAAACAGAGAGATTCGGGGCAGTGAAAAAGTGGTTCTCTTTTTGTTGATTGTAACAAGTAATCATATAAATATTAGTTGAGTGATCTGAATAATTAAGGAAATATTTACAACAACAACAAAACTGAGGAAAGGTGAAAAAAGAAGAAAAAATGCACGTTACTCTTTGGACTCTCTGCGGCTATACAAGGGAACACTGCGCCACCTACGTCTACTTTTTTGTATTCCATTCTTTTTACTGTGAATTATTTATGTTTCTATAAAAGACGAAGTAAAACAGTGTAATAAAATCTATGAATAAGAATATTATGATTTGCATTCTCTACAATAATTATGTGTACACATATTCTGACACTTTTTAAATAACAGAATATGAAAAATAAAGAATATAAAATGAGATGATAAAAAATGAGATGGTAGGTTCACCTTTTTGCTCCAAAACTGTGTAATTAAATAATAAATATCTTCGTTTTATATCACTAAACTTGCTATCTAGATGATTTATGCAATCAGGAGGTAAACATTTCGATTGGAAAATATATGTAAAACGAGGCTGTACAATATAATTTCCCATTTCCCATTGCATTTCGTTAATCATCAATTTTAGTAAGTGGATCCCGTCCCCTTGCATTTTCTAGGGAGGATCATATCAGGTCATCACGTAATGTCGGAGCTACTGAACTTCACAACTCACCCATAAAATGTGTAAAATGAACATCGTAAAATGTAATATAACTTAGTATAAAATGCATACAGTTTGGTTAATTACGGGTGCAATTTCTTTTTTTTTTCATTTTCATATATGAATGAGAAATTTATCCCTATATACATAAAAAATCATAAATTCACTAATAAAATTCTCTCCTCTCTCTTTTTTTCTCTTCCTGTCTCTTTTTCAATATCTAATTTCTTTTTATTTTGGTTATTTGGCAAATAAACCCAACATGAATTCCATGTTATCCATGATTATATGGATATGCTACAAATACTAATTTAATAACGTTGAGGTCTATTCATCCAGTTACATGGTGTTTGTTATCTGAGATGAAAAAAATTGTTTGAGATGTTAATAACTTGGATTGTACAGTTTAAGGTGTTGTGATGGACCAAAAACCTGTTGGATTGGTCTGGATTTTTGAGAAAGAAAACAATATCAGTTCTTTAGAAGCCTCCCCAATAAAATCAGTGGTGTCACATCAGTCACATCAGAATAGAACAAGAAACAATCGTTTCTTTTGCTATTGTATAATTAATAGTAAATCCCTCCGCTTGACCATATAAGTAGACCAAATTAAACTCTAAAAACCAAAATCAAATTAAAATCGCCTTTATCAGGACCGGATCGATCCAGGTTAGTCTAATCCGAAGGTTTTGGAAAGGAAATGCTATCTAAAATGGTGAAATTTAGTCATGAAGGGTTTTTAAATAAGAAAAATAAATAAAAGAAAGAATGAAAGAATGAGAAGAGAAAATGACAAGTGGGAGAGGCCCGAGAAGAAGAAGACGTTTGCTGTCTGTCCCTTAAACCTGTCGAGAGGTGGTCTCTTGAGCCCAGTGTTGCCTTCTCCTCTGCGTTGACAATCTCTCAGTTTATTTAATCTTCATATATATATATATATATTTTTTTGGTAGTAGTTTATTTTGTTTTTAACTTTTATAAATAAAACAAATCATGTCGCTTGAGGGGAGTGAATCGATGTAAGACAAATAAAAGTTGAGATTGTCGTCGCTGATGAGATTAGAAATAGAAGTTTGGCATTTCTTTTATTTTAAGGGTTTGTTTCAAAGTTGAAAATCTGCAAATGTTTATGTTAAGGCAACATTTGAGCAAATGAGTACTAGAAGGTCTTAATTATGGGATGGCTTGCTTGCTTCATGAAAGGAGTACATTTGAGCAAATGGGAACAAGAACGAGACAATAATGGAAAAAAATGAAATTTTAGTATTATGTAATGGTTGTCATTTTCTCAGCCTTTAAATGTGGCTTTTTGTTGATAACAACATGGCATATTTGAGTCTTTTAGAGAAAAGTCTAATCTATTGGATATCTACATGACTACATCAACCATATAATAACAATATAGTTAAAGAAGAATAATAATGCACCAAACCTAACATATATCCCCTTCAGTATTATTCTACTGTATTTTCATGGTAATTTTATATTTGTTAATCGGAATTAGATATCGAAACCAAACTAATTCCCAAAACTCTTAAAAGCTAGAGATGGTAAAAAAATGATTGAAATCACAGTTTACAAATACTGAATATACACAACAAAACATTTATAATGAATTTTGCCCAAAAAAAAAACATTTATAATGAATTTTCCACGAAACACCACCACTTAAGGCTTGACTAATTTTCCGGCCACCGCAAACGCAGTTTTTATAGTTGATGGCGGTTGTTGGCGTTTTGTAACAATTATAGAAATATTATAAACCGTTTCAATTCCTTCTTAATTTCTAAAAGCTCCAAACTCTTCTGAATGTCTAAAATTTTAAAACTGATTTCATCTAGTGTTTCCGGTTACAAAAATATTAAAAAAATAGTTTTCTTAAAAAAACTATGTAAATCTAAAAATAAAATATTTAATTAAAATTTTAAAATAAATTAATAGAAATACCAAAATATGTATTATATTTTAATTTATATTATAAAACTTCAAAAAAATATTTTCCATAATTTTTTAAAAAATAATATAATTTAACCAATATAATTGTATATTTAAAATAAAATATGATTTTAATATTTTGATAATTATATAAAATATAAATATTGCTAATTTATTATTTAACTGCTGTTGCATTTGATAGTTAACTAGTCATAAATATTCTGCAAACGCAACAATTTTTAATCAATGTACCGATCGTCCAAATCTCTTATTCATACTTAAAACCGTAATCTCTCATATTCACAAACTCCGCAATCACAACCCTAATTACTGCGGTTACACTAGTTATGCTCTTAGTTGTTTTTTAGTAATTTCTCGAGCTGTTTTTACTATCGATGGTAAATGGATACATACATTACTTACATATAGAAATTTACGTACTTTACTTTACAATAGCTTTATTTGTAGTTAACTCTTATAAATCTCCAGTGGTTTTATTTAAACTAGCCATGCTTTTGAATTATCTAAACAAAGGTAAACACAAACCGAAAGTACAATCAACCCCTCTACTACACTTTAAAGATCGGCATGGAATATAAAGTTAAAATTAAAGAGCTATGGATCTTGGCTCAATCAATAACCTAATAGGGCAATGGATGTTAAATTTTGACTATGGTCCATGCGTTGTTAGTGATTGGTCGGTCGGTCGATATAAATGTAATGATGTAAACTGTGTTTTTTTACTTCGCACACTCATTATCCATTTAATCCAGTTGGGATGCAAATTAATTGATTACAGAA